CAAAGTTTATGTGTTGTTTACTGAGAAATATGTGGGATAAATCACTGACCCTGGTGGGTATTTCAGCCAGACATTGAGCTATAGGTGATTTCCCATCCAGGCAAAGACCTAAAATGGTAATAGTGTTTAAAAGGCCAGTAAACTTGAGTATTCGACTCAGAAAATATGTAAGTATGCTACTTGTTTTCTCAAAGATTTTAAATTAAATTCTCAATTGCTTTAATTTGGTGAGGGCCTGGTGCCCATGCCAAGGCACATATGGGAGGTCAGGGGACAATTTTCAGGAATCAGTTATCTCCTTCCACCATGTGGGAAGAAAAGCGATGCCACAGGTGGTGTGGAGCCACGGGGTGGACCCTGGAGAGCTGTTTTCTAAAGTTGCTACAGTGTGTCCTTTCCAGAGAACACCAATGTTTAGGGAATCAAAAACAAGTCTAAAGTCCGGCATGGTGAACCAATGAGTTTCAGATTGGTACCAGAGCACAAGTGAGGGTTGCTTGCAGAAGTACAAGAAAGTCCACCCTCACATAGGTGATGGATCCCCAAAACTGCATCCCCAGAGCTCCCTGCCCCAACCTACAGGCAACTCTGACAATGAGTCACCCACCCCAGCCACTGTTTGCTGCTTATATACCTTTAGGAAAAAGACCCTTCAAAGTTTCATGAGCTCCTTGAGTCTTGTGGGCCTCTTTCTTCTTTCTAGGGCAATCACTGTCCAAAAACTGGCCTAAAAGGAGAGCACTTACTTGGTCTGATAATGCGCTGCTTATATGTGGCTGGCTGTATTCTGTGTCCTGCTACATGTATGGGTGGCATCTGGTTTTTTACTTTAATTTTTAAGGTTTCAAAAGGCAGAATAATTATTACTCCCTTTAATACACTAAGCTTCATTACCAACTGTCAAAGACTGTTAACACTGCTTTTCATTGGGTTAAACTAAAGCACTACCCCTCTGAAACACAGTGTTTGCACATCAAGTATTTATTTACATCACTGACCTATGATTACACCCTGTCTTTGATTAATATGCCTTCTTTAAGCCTCTTCCAAGTTACAAGATTTTTCATTTATCCCAGCTAGAACCTTTTCCTCAGAACTGTCTCACTCTTTGATATGCTGCCCACCAGTCCTGTAAGAACGGATAAAGCAGATTAGCATTTGGAGTGACATCTCACTGTTGTCCCAGGGAGTGAGTCTTCTTGCCTTCCCTGAGTTTTGGCTTCCCTAGCGTCTCCAAAGCTCTCCAGGATTTATTTCGCTGAGAGTGAGACTTAAGGAAAAGCAATCCTTCACAATTGTTGCCCATTTAATTGTTTATATCAGGACTCTGAGTATACCCTTATTTCCCTCCAGCCAATCATTTACCACAGAAGTCAGTGTACTTCCGTCTAAGCAGTAATTTCAGTGGCTGAATAACTGAGTCTCTGCTTCCCTGAGACTCCTGTTGCTAGAGGTTTTTTCCAGCCTGGTCCCACTGCCACTTTGCCCCAAATAAACACACTGATGCAATATTAATTATAAAACTATTGGCTGATGGCTAGGGCTTCTTACTTCTTACCTCAGTCTTAATCATCAACACTTTTCTATTAGTCTACATATTTTCACATGGTCTTACTGAAGAAGGGACCAAACCTGTTACTCCTTCCTCTGCTACATGCGTTTCTCCTGGTGAAACAGGAGATATAGGGGTGTCTTTGAGAAGGATGGTGACTTTCTTAGGGAGCTGAGGTCTAGGTACTCTATGGCCCTGAGTGTGGGGCTTCCAAGTTCTTGTCTCTTGAATTAGAAGAAGGAAATTCACTGACTAGATAGGGTAAGCTTCAAAAGCAAGTTTATTATAGCATAAGATGGAGAGACAGAGAGAGAGAGAGAGAGAGAGAGAGAGAGAGAGAGAGAGAGAGAGAGAGAGAGAGAACACAGCTTTTGTATAACTAGAAGGGGGTGGTCCTGGGAAAAATAGAGTGCCACTCTATTCTAGTTTTTCATTCCAATTAACTTGACTGGTAGTCATGGCTGCTCTGTGATGGAGGTATAGTCCCCAAACTAAGTATTGTAGACTCAGCTGGACGGAGGGAGGGAGGGAGGGAAGGAGGGATGGAGGGAGGGAGAGCGAGCTCTGTTTTTAAAGTGAATATACAATTCTGACAAAACCAATGTTGTGCTGCCACAGAGTTCCTGTGTCTTTTCTCAGTCATACAAGACTTCGCAACTGTATGCTGTGTATGAAAGTGCCAGAACAGACGGCCCTCCTGAGAGGCATTTTCCTGTCTAAGTGACTGACAGATCCATTTGGATCTTAAGGAAAGGAACAACCATATGTCTTTGTGCTTTACCAGAAAGCCTCCTTTACTGGAGGGCCCAATCTTTTGGCTTCTCTGAGCCACAATGAAAGAATTGTCTTGAACTACACTTTAAATCAGAGAAGTTGAGACCATGACCTGCTGCCTGTGAGCCATACATGGCTACTCTGAGTGATGTAACAACAAGCTATCCTGTGTATACAGCCTGTGGGCTGCAGGTTGGACACCTCAATTTAAAATCTTCCTGGTAGTTCATAAAGTCATGTCTCTACCTCAGACCAGATATACAAGTCAGGTCCCCCTCACGCTAACCCCTTTAGTAAACCAAAACTTATTCAACAAAATGATTACAGAGAAAAACAAGAATAAAAATAATAAAAAATAAATCTATAAAATATAGCCAGGCTTTACCAAGAGGAAATACCTTCCTCTTAATGGACTCAACGATGCCCTGTCATCTCCCTCTCCCTCCCTTTGATGTATTTGATAGCTATCATTTCAAATGGCATTTAAAAACTTTAAGAAGGCAAAGTCATAGTTCTATCTCCTCTGCTTACAAAGTTTCTCTAATTTTAGCAAAGGGCAACGGCAGTCAGTACCTTCGCTTCCATAAAATCTGTGACGGAGACAGGAGGGCAGCTCAGCTGGAACAAAGACCTGATTTTGGATTCCCAGCACCCCTGTGAAAAATCCAACACAGTGGCAGCAGGCATTTATAATCCTGACAGAGACAAGAGTAGCCTTGGGATTTGGACCAGATGCTCTTGCTGAATCTGTGAGCTCTAGGTTCAGTGAGTAAGACCCTGTGTGATAAATAAGGTAGGAAGCAATAGCAAAAGACATCTGACATTGACCTTTGGCTTTCACATACCCATATGCACCTGTATACATGTATGCAGAAACATGTACATATGCATATGTATCACATGCACACATGCACACACACACGCACACACACACACACACACACACAGAGAGAGAGAGAGAGAGAGAGAGAGAGAGAGAGAGAGAGAGCATGTTGTCGAAAACAGGAGGTGGTATTAGAAACTAACTTTGAGAGAGAAATCCATCCTCAATTACCTCAAGTCTGATAATTTGTAACTAGCTACTAACCACTCTGCTTCATCTTGAATTTTCTGCTTATTTCAATGTGTGGTCAGTGATCTCTCAAATACACATCCTCAAAATAACCACCTGTCAAAGTTTTTCCATCAATGTCACAAGTGGAAGAATTTAACCTGTGCTGTCTCTCCCCCTTTTCCTATCACGAACAAGTAAGAACTTGCCAGAGTTTGCCTGCTAAGTTTTGTTGTTTTCTTTTACTAAGCTTAGGACAAGTACACAGTACCAAAAACCAAACAGAAGTCCTCCCAGTGACACTTCTAATCCTGTGTCTCACATTGTATCATGCTGTGACTAAGGTAAGCAGATAGAAAATGAGAGCCTAGAACACAGGACTTCATTACAGAGTCTCAGCAATCAGACCCTCGGGTGCCAAGTACACCCTGCTATTAAACGCAGCAGGGACAAAAAGCCCAAGTGAAATCACCAGGGAGGAAAAACAGGTGTTGCTTGGGCTTTCTTCCTCAGCCCTTTATGCTCTTTATGCCACTGGGCAGTAATCTGTTTCACCAACAGCAACAAAGACACCTCAATATACTTCCAGTACCTGACACAGGATGAGAAAGTAGTCACTATCATCAAAATAGTTCTGTACTTCACAAAGCACCTCCACACACCCCTTACAGCAGCCCTGCAACTGGCAGGATAGACATATGGATGTGTGTCCATTTGGCGCTCACAGTATCCTTTCTCTACCCTCTCACTAGGAGAAAATTCTGGAAGAGCAGAAACTGCTTGCTTTGCTTGCTGCCATAGCAACAATGCTTAGTCCACAGCCTAATCATCTGGCAGGTGTAGAGTCAATTCTTGACCAAATAATGACAACCACAGATACTCTTCCCAACTCATCTACTGATGAGCACAAGGGACTGGAATGGTCAAACGGTTTTAAGGTAGGAGACCCCTGGTGTGGACACTTTTTCCATAGCCAAAACCCAGAAGTGCTCTTGGTCTTATTTGAGTTGTGTAATTTCAAAGGGCCAGAATTGCCAAGGGTGTTTAGGCCAAAATGCATTGGTTCTGACCTGGCCAGAAACCAGAGATATCAAGAGGAAGGGTTGTATTTTTTCCTTCTCCTCTAAATGAGTACACATACATCCTCGTAGGGGGAGGCATCTAGACACACCAAAATTGGGTCAAATGGACTGTTAGGCTCTTCCTCCTCCCCATGCCTCACCCCAACTTCTGCTTTAAGTCCTATAAAATTACTCCATACTGGGAGTTTGATGATACCCCATTTTCTGGAACCATTCTTACTATACAGGCCTCTGCCTTCTATCTATTAAGTACTAACCCATGAACTTATAATAATTTTTTTATAAAACTCACCTTCCCCATTGTCTGCAAAAATTCATTTTCCAGGTTAAAAGGACAAAGGATCAAGAAGCCACTGGCCTGGATGGCTCTGGGCCATTGCCTTTTATAGCTTCAGCTCTCCAACACAGAGACGCCTGCGAAAAGGAAGTTTGCATTGCTCTCAAAGACACCTTGCTTTCCCCAGATCGCCACTAAGCTGAGAGGAAGTCAGATCATTGCCCACAGCAACATGACCAGGCACAGGTATCACAGGCATACATCATGGCCACCCCAAATCCTGGCTCCTATGAGGATCAGCAGCGAGCCCCTTCCTGCACATGGACACAGGGCTCACCTGTCCACAAGTCTGTCTGTCCTGCAGAATCGGTGAGAATGAGGTTTCACAGAACTTCAAGCCTAAGCCAACACCATAGCCACAGAGTCAGTCTGAGCCATTAGGAGAAAACAGATGGGGGACCTTATTGCCAAGCCTCGGTGACTGGGTTCTGGGGTGCATGGATTCAAGGTTCCTTTCCTCAGACAGGGTAATTGTCACACTACCGGAAAATCACAACAGAATGAGCATCCACCCATCTCCATGCTGAATTTGTGTAGAGCCGAACAGCGACATTCAGCATTGAAAATAAAAAGGCAAAGAAAGCTGGCGAAGAAGAGAGGGGTCCCAAGTAGCTGTGTAAATGTTGGTCTCCCATGGTGAGACTACAACACTTTTAGGGGCTGACTTGCTGTGAGAGCCAGGAAGGACTCAGGCAAAAGGAAGGTTGAACCCCAGGAAGCTGGGAAAAGCATGAACATCTAATTTCCTTTGATTTGGTATGATGCTAAATAAAACTCAGCAAGAGCCCTGAGAACTCAAGACTCAGTGACAGCGTGGGGGCAGGGTGTGTATGTGGGGATTGTGCAAAGCCGACATTGGTAAATCTTTTTCCTTCAACACTTTGCAGTCAAGACTTTGAAATGTTTAGTTTTTATTTACCCATTCTTTTATTAATTTCACAAAGGCACACCACATCCCATGTACTAGGCAAGGTACTGGGTGGATGCAAAAGACTAAAATGTAATTTCCCAGGGATTTGACCCCCCCTCGTGTTCAAACAGCAACCCCAGAACATCTGATTCCCTGATCTCTGTGCTAAAAATCTTGTCTACAAAGTGATAGTGTTAAAAAGCCCTTGTGCGTGGAGGTGTGTTGCTATCAAAGAGGCCACAGAGAGCTGTGTTTTCTTTCCCTTTTGCCATATAAAGACCATGAAAACACCACTTACACCCTAGAAAACATTTGCTAGCTACTGAATCTATCAACACCTTGATTTCGGACTTACCAGTCTCTATAACTGTGAGGAATTTGTTTCTATTGTTATAATCCACCCAGATTATAGAATTTTGTGATAACAGCCTGGATGGACCAGAACATCAATAGACAAATGAATGTAATGAAAGATGCTGTATCTTGGGTAATTCTGAAAGTCTCCTTGGATTCTATAACAAATAACCAATCATGTCTCTGCCATCTGGAATTAACATAAATTTATTTTCCCTTAGGTCTTGAGTTTAGATGTCTGAAATCAAGATGCCAAGAGGGACAAACTTTTGCCAAGGGCTCTAGAGGAGATGTTTTCCTTTTCCAGAATTGGTGGTGCTAGCATGGCTTCTGGTGGCCTTAGTCCAATATCTGACTTCTCCTACATAAGACCTTTCCCTTGTCTCATCTGTCTCCCTCTGTGTGTGTGTGTGTGTGTGTGTGTCTATACTCTTGTCATGGGTACTAATGCAGGAAGGTTGAGTATCAGGATTCATAAATTGATTGCATCTTCAATTGCTAGGGTGTAGCCATATGGATTAGGGGGTCAGCATTTAATTCACTAAAGTTAATAAAGCAAATAAAAGAAGGGCCTGAAAGAGGCCACTTATGAGCCACATTTGAATGATATATAGAAAATTTAGGAGTTAAGCCTGAAATGTATGGGCAAAGGGTTGTCATTATGATCTGTAGGGTAGCAGGAGCATATCTCTGTTTCAGGATGGTAATTTTATGATGAAGGAAAGAAAAAGGAATCAAAATAAAGGAAGCCAAGTCACAAAGCACGCATACCCCTTGCCTCTGAGTTCTAATTTGTCAATGGATCTTGGCTGCTATACCATGGGTCACTGTAGGGAGAGTTCTTACTAGGTACCTGGACATGGCTGCAGGTGTGTGCCGGACATGTGGGATATAGGCCTGAGGAGAGGCAGGCATACTCTCTCAGGGTTCCTGTTGGATCTCTGAGGTCAGCTGAGATTGGATGCTTAGAGCACTGACCCTGGGCTATAAGTTTCTTATGTAAGTGTTTTTCTCCCCAATGAAATTAACCTACTTCTCCTCTATCCCATGTATGGTAACCTTCTTCCAACAGGATCACCAATACTGTACATCAAAAACACCAAGTCTGAAGGCCTAACATAGAGCTTGTGTTTGCCAATACTTAGGATGTTTGGGTCATGAATTTCATAAAAGGTTGAATTAAAAGGAATGTATGACATAATACGGGTGCTCTACATGTAAATCTAAAAAGAACATATGGATGCTATCTTGATGCCAAGCAAACATGTGACTGGTTAAAACATGGGAGGAGAAGAATATGAATGCTATAGGGTACCCAGTAGCTTCTGTTGTTAGGGATCTTGCTATGTGACCCTTTGCCATCCTTATTTGATTGATACCTACCAAACTAAACTGAAAACGTAAAGACAAGTTGGGAATAGTGGTGCATGCCTTCTGGAGAAGCAGAAGCAGGCAGATCTCTGAGTTTGAGACCAGCCTGGCTTTTGAAACGAGTTCCTGGACAGCCAGAACTACACAGAGAAACCCTGTCTTGAAAAACAACAAAACAAAACAAAAGACAACATGAAAACCATGAAAGGTGAGATGGAAAACACAGGATTTGGGAATTTGAATGACAGAAAGTCCTGTAAGGAAAACTAAAAATGGTTATCTCAGGTTTTCCTTCACATATGAACAAAAAGGTAATACTTGCACCAGGACACATAGTCACTAACTGTCCCATAGAGACCAAATCTGTGGGGTTCTATCAGGTGTCCTGTGAAGCATTTTGCCAGGCTGCTCGATTCTTCTTGTTGGTTTTTCCCAGACAGAGACATAAATGAGGAAATTGTTGGTGTGTAAGTGGTCACAAACCCCTGGAAATTCTGAACATAGATAAAGAACAAGAGCTGTAGAAAGCTAAGAGAAATGCAAGGCTGAGAAACAGAGTTGGTGAATTGAGGCACTTTGCCCGCAAACACTTCCAATCGTCACTCACTCTCCAGTCTGACTTGTTCTAGGCATCTTTCTATTGATACAACAACTGTCAGTTGTGCTATTTATTTGATGCCTATCACATATGTGCATTTCCATGTAGTGTTTATTTCAGTGTAGGATCAAACGTACTGGCTTCTATATGTTAGACAAATGCTCTACTGAGCTGAGTCCCCAATCATGTAGAACTTTTTTCAAGTAAATTCCCTTTGTACAATAAATTTTCAGATTTATTTGTATTATCTGACTATTTTATGCTGTACTAGAATCATATTAAAGGAGAGAAAAAGACAGAGAGTCATCCATTTTTTCTGATTCTTTACTGGTTTTCTCCTCTTCAGATTCCTCATCCAAACAAGTGCCTGTAAGTAGGATTTTTAAAAATGCCACCTTCTTTCATGGCAGAAAGTGTCATACTGTTTGATATGTGGTACAGTCATCACTGAAGAAAGCAAGATGACTTCCTGAGACAGTCCAGTATTCCCTGCATCATCCACCCTCTCCACACACACAAATATCAAATCATCATACTGCTCCTGGGATCATAGTGAGAGAGAACAAAACACTTGAGTAAGCATGTGTCTTCATTCTGCTTTTTGTTTTATTTTAAGAGAAGAGGGTGACTCTGGGCCTACACATCTGAGGTAATCTCATCAGTGACTTCAGTGGCTCTGTTGTGGCACTGTAATGTGCCTGTCAGGACACTTTCTCATGACAACACAACCCCTTCCTTAGTGTGTTCCAACAAAGTGCTTGAGAGCAGGAACCATGAATAGATTCTCAGAAAATAGTGTTGACTTGAATTAATTCTGTCACAATACAGAGGCACTGTGACTCTTGAGTGGTCAAGGAGTGTTCAAGAAGAGTGGAGGGATAGATTAGCATCGAGGCAAAGCCTTAAATAAAGTCCAATTAAATTGGGCTTTCTAGCCACCATGGTTTTGGTCTGTACAGCTTGGTCCTCTCAGCTTATGAAAATTTTCAATTTTAATGATATATTAAAACTAAAACTACATAGGAGCGTCAGAACATCTTAAATTAGTGTTAAAGTTAGCAGTGATTTGGGTCAGTGTCATTTCAAGCTTCACAGGAAATAGAAAGGAACATAAGTTGGTTGTCATAGAAGTTGGGCAGTGATTTATATTTTTAAAGAAGCTTGCTTGAGAGCTAGACTTGACTTGGAATTCAATATATTTTTAGTTGGTGTTAAAGTAAAATTCAAAATGAAAATTTCCATTAGATAATCAAGTGTGTAGGAGAGCTTTTGAATATAGTTCATCAAGAATATGGTATAATGAAATAATGATAGCCTAGTTAGCACTTCTGTTCTAAGTTAATCAGTATATAAATCTATCAATTCTACTCTACATTAGTATAAACACATTTGCTGGTAAATTTTAATCATCAGTTTGACACAGTCTGGAATCACCTGACAAGGGAGCTAGTTAAGGGAATGTCTAGGTCAGGTTAGTCTGTCAACATGCTGGTGGGAGATTGTCTTGACTACATCAATTGGGATGAGAACAGTTTAGGTGGCACCATTCTTTAGGAAGGAGACTCCAAATGAGAGTGGACAATCAGGCTGAACATTAGCAAGTGTGCAGCAGTTCAAAGGTCTCTGCTCTTACCTGTGAATATAATAAGACTCGTTGCTTCATGACGTACCTGCCTTCACTTCCCACACAATGATGTACTGCAATTGTAATTGTGAGTCAAATAAAGTCTTTCTCCTTTAAGAAGCCTTAGTCAGGGTATTTTATCACAGCAACAGGAAATGAAACTAAGATGTCCCCTACCCCTGTTCATACATATATTCAGAAACACACACGCATTGGAAGGCTGGAAATCTGTTGCTTATTTTATTTACCACTCAGGGCTCTACAGGACCTTTTCAGGAGGTGGAATTTGATTATCTTGTTCTTTCATTGTCTTAAGCTCTGAGGACTGAAGCTAGGACCTGAAACAGAGCACAGTTAAGTCCCCAAAATGTGTGAAATTTTGCTACAACTCTTAAGATCCCTAAATTCAAAGTGATAAACCTAGGTATCTGAATAAGCATTTATTCTTCAAAACATATGCAAACTGTGATATGTAGTTCTACCAGCATAGTACTAATGGATAAACACTGAGAGTGAACTTACGTGAACTCATAAAACAGCTCACAAATATTCTAATGGACAGTTTTACTTTTACCAAAATAAAAGGCTAAAGAAAAGCCACTATCTAATGGGATTATCTTGGTGCTTTATCCTTATTTTATGGATCATCACAAACACTTGGCTTTTAGTTTCTTTCTGCAATTCCTTATTCACTAACTGCTCTTTGGCACAATTGCTTTACACTGTTTATTGTATTATATGAAGTGTCTATGCACATTATGGCTTTTAATCTTCCCATCAAACCTATGAGTAAATACCAGTAGGCTCCTCATTTTACCTGTAAACACTTGAAGCATACAAAGGTTAAATAACTTGATAAGTAAATGGTAAAGTCTAATTTCAAACTCCAAAGCCCTCACTCCACGAATTTGTGAAGCTATTATGTGCCTTTTTTTTTGTTTTCCATGATTACTTGGATTGCGGCTTTTTTAATGCAGCTTAGAGCTTTTTTTTTCACTAGACCTGTGTCCGACTCCAATCACATCTCCTCCAGTCCTGGGCAATTCTCTTGAGTCATAACCTTCTACTGAAATCAGGTCCTTCTCCAACATCCACTATGCCTTCCTTCCCTACTTCCTTTCTTTCTTTGTTCATCCCCATTTGGAAAAAAAAAGTCTCCAAAAGAAGAATTCAAAGATTCATAATCCTTGCAAACCCAGGGCAGTTATGCAGAGTTCATGGGATCAGCTTGAAAGGGAAAGGACAGGGAAAAACAAGTGTTTGAGCTGAACATTCAGTGTCTGCCTTGCTGTTCACAAAGAGAAGCCAGTCAAACGTATGGAGCCTCCTACTTTGAATATGTGTAAGTAACATCCTAAAAACTCATATACAGCTGTCTACCCTGATAGCTGGGTGAAACAATGGTGTGTGAATCCTGACTGTCCACGCATTCTGGCTAAGTCATTGGGTCTGCTGCACAAGGTTCCAGAGCTATATGTTGCCCCAGACTTTGGGTGAGGATTATGCACATGGGTTTGTCTATGCTTTGGGGAGTAAATCTGTTATCTGTTTTCATGGAATGTGCCCCCGAAAATCTACATAATGCAAATTATCTGGAAAACGTTTTCCAATATGTATTTTCATTTGGGACAGACTTTGGTGTATTTGAAAGATGTGGGCAGAAGAGTGAACTTTTGCTTGGACAATCATACACATAACAATTAGGAAGATTTACATATTAAGAAATCACCCTAAGCATTCAAATGAAACCACTTTTAGAGAAATTCATATACTTTGTCAAACAGCAAATTGAGCCAGAAGAATCTAAAGAGAGTGGGAATAGATTTCAGCATCTCACACCCACTTTGGAAAAAAAAATCTGTCACATCTTGAAAGATCTCACGGAAAGACTTTGGTTTCTACATACTTTCCAGACCATGTTAAAAATCTCATCAATACTAAATGGTGCCTTATTTCAAATGAACACCTCCATATAACTTGACAAACTCTTTTCTTTTTGTTACCTCTTTGTGAGAAGAGCTCATGTAGACCAGGCTGTCCTCAAATTTGACATACAGCCGTGGAGAGTGGGGACCCTGATTTTTGTTCCTCTGCAGATTGAGTGCTAGAATTACTAACATGGACCATCTTCCTTTGTTTCCTAGTCTCTTTATATTCTGAAATTTTAACGTGTTTGTGAAGTAAGTGACAACGCAAAAGCGGTGTTTCTATTCTGTGGTGCAGAACTCTACAATTATTTCTTTCTACTTTCTCAAATTTTATGTTATTGTGTACAGGTGTTTTGCCTACATGTATGTCTATAAGCCACTTTATTGCTTGATGCCTAAAACCTGAAGATACCAGAAGTTGTCAGATGCCAAAGGGCTGGAGTTACAGGTGATTGATTGTAAGCCATCTCTCTTGGAGGCTGGGATTTGAACTCAGGTCCTTTGCAAGAAAAGCAAGTGCTCTTAATTGCTGAGCCACTTCTTCAGACCTTTTCTTTTTTACTTATAAATGAATTTATTGCCTTGCTTCTACAGCATAGTAAAAAAAGTTCCTGCACACTCTTGGCTTGTGCCATTTTAAAAGACTCACTTGAACATGTTTCCTGACCCACTTCCAGACCTCATATGATACATCCATGCTACACATTTCTGAAAATGGAATAAATTAATAATTTGAGTGATTTAGCACCAACAATTACTTGATAAATTAAAGGTCAGTGCTCAATGTTAATAAGGCAAGAACTCAAGAGTAGGCTGCTTCCTGCTCATTTTCTCTTCTCAACAATTAGTGACAATTCTATATGACATGGTTCTCAGTTTCAAGTCACAAGTAGCCAACAGATTACACAAGAACACAAACAACCAGATCCATAACAGCACACATAACTAGCAGGTGACCCCAACAGCTTCTGGAAGTCTCAGGCACCAAAGAACACAGCATGTCACAGAAGGCCCCATGGGGCCAGCCTCACAGTCCCACACTTTTACAGATGAAGGCCCAGGTAGGAAGAAAAAGCCAACTTGTCTCTTGCTCTGTGCTCCTCCAAAGCTCTGTCCAGGATAGAAGGTGGAGCCATAACTGGGACTCTAGCCATCAACAGATAAAAGGACTCAAAACAGAGCAGAATAGAACCCATGTTCCAGAAGTGACAGAAGGACTGCACTTTTGTTCTGGGAATAGGCTTAATTATAATGGGTTCAGGGAGGGAGGGAGGGAGTTAAGTGGTTAATGCTGGATGCTGCCCCACCTTGAAGACCCAGACCTTTAAAGAGTCTCTCAAGTCCTCCTTCCAGCAACTACGTGGACATGACATGGTCTCAAAACACCCCATTTCACAGACTTGAAAACCAGAGATCTTTCTCTCCTTCTAGCTGAAGACTTTCAATGTCTTTATTTTTCTCTTCTTAGATATTTTCTCCCTATATTAGAATAAGTGTTCGGGAGCAAAAAAAAAATCCCCATCTAAATGCCTTTAAGTTGAAGCAGTTTTACTAAAATGTTTTCCATTTCAGAAAACACTTTAGGTTTTTATTTATATTTGAACACCCTTGTAAATTAAGTATTTTTCTCTCAAATAGCTTAAAACTTTTGCATCATAAAATACAGATCACTTGGTTAGATGATATCCAATCCACCACATTTAAAACAAGTTTCTGATAAGAGCCTTTTCTGAGAAGGTTTCTTGGGAATATAACTATAAAAAAGTCCATTTGCCTATTTAGGTTCCCATTGCTGAGTGAGAAAAAGATATAAATGTCATTGAAAGACAGATTATTTATTATTTTCCCATCTGCTTACTGCAATGGTTATTTGAATCTCTGGTAAGTGTAAAATGCTTTATATTAATAAATTCAAATGATGTCTGTTGTCTTATACAAACACAGATGTCATTTTTGCAGCTTGGACTTGTTTAAGTACACAAAATTAAAAAATAAAAATACAAATATGAATTTTTTGAGTTAACACAAAATTTATAGTAAGAATGCAAATCCATGTTCAATTTTTTTCATATTCATCTTTAACTCAACTTATAACAGTTCACCTTATTCCTCACTTTCATTACATGAGACACTTTTTTGATGTGTGCATAATAATTGCAATATTGCTTATTTTTTCTGTCATCGTTTGTAGTTATAAGGACTTCAACTACAGAAAATTAGATCCATAACCACAGTGAAATTTGAATTTTGTATTTATAAAAAATGAAGAAAAACAGAGTGTTACTTAACAGAAGAATCAACCCTTTTCCTCAAGTCATCAAAAGAATGATTCTATCAGAAAACAAGAAGACCATTTGGACCAATCATCAATGCCTGTGGTGCTTTGAGGACAATCGTCTCAGCTTCTGTTTTCAAAGCAATATACAGTAATAAGACTTCAATATAACTGCAGGGAAACTTTAATATCAGATACTGGTCTGGTTCAGAAATCTAGCTCCAAGCCATCATCTACCTGTTTCTGTGAGATTTGTATTGCCACATTCTTGTCTATTCTTAAGAGCTATGTATGTCCCACAGTCAGGAGTGAGAAGCAAGACTGTAGGATTACATCGTTTCCTGGAGACATTTTAGAATGTGTTAGTGTCACAGCCATCATTATTTAGGGTGCGTACCATGTTCAAGTATGGATGAGAATTCCTAGAAAGAAGCTTTATATCAGCAGTCTAATTGACCTGTTACAACTACAGGGGATGTGAGAAGGTTGGACTCTCGTGGGTCCATAGTCTAAATATGCATTAGTCTGAGACTGGTTCTGGCCTCCTAAATAGTCCTTCCTTGTCACCGCTGTGTCAAACCTAACATCCTTCTATTAACAGGGAAAACTCTTAAGAATTTATTAACTTAACAGACCACTTGCTAAGATCAGATCCAAAGCTAATAGTCATCAGTCCCCCAACCTGCTGTAACTTGCCTCTCTGATCATTCTACCAGAGTATTCTTGAAAATGCCTTGATTTATAATATCTTTTGTTCTGTTAGTATAAAGACTCCATGAATCTTCTTCCTTATTAGAATACTGTATTTGGGGAAATCTGAATATGTGTTTCCAGGCCATGGTCACTTATAATTCTGTCTCCAGAAGAAAGCATGTCTTCTACTGCTTTGAAGAGAGAGCTGTTTCTTTTGATAACATTAGGCATTGGACTAAAGCCTTTCATTACCTAACTGGTCACAACCATATGAAATAGATTTTCTTATAGCCTCTTCTTGAAAGATATGGAGCACAGAAACTGGGATGCCTCTGCTTGATCAAGGTCATACACCCTCTAAATGGGCGAGCCTGGGCTCCTATACAAAATCAACAGAGTCCCTAATACACACTACTAAGCTCAAGCTGTATCGTCTATTAAAGAGATGCAAACTCAGTTGGTTTAAGGTTCAAGGCCATTCTTTGTTTGCCAATTTCATTTGCAGCTCCTCCTTCACTTCTTCATACTGCTGACTGAAGAGGCTCCAGAGACAGAGTCCAAGGGAAATGGAGTAAGGCCGGTGGCCGGGTCTGCTGAGTCCGCAGCAGGTGCAGGCCCAGTTGTCACCTCCCCAGAACATCTTCCCATGGATTCTGACACTGTTGACTCTTCAGACTCCGAGTCTGATATCCTTTTGGGCATTCTGGACAAGTTGGACCCTGTCATGTTTTTCAAATGTCCATCCCCAGAATCTGCCGATCTGGAGGAGCTCCCAGAGGTCTACCCAGGACCTAGTTCCTTACCAGCCTCCCTTTCTCTGTCAGTGGGGACCTCATCAGCCAAGCTGGAAGCCATTAATGAACTCATTCGCTTTGACCATGTATACACCAAGCCTCTAGTCTTAGAGATCCCTTCTGAGACAGAGGGCCAAACTAACGTGGTAGTGAAAATTGAGGAAGCACCTCTCAGCTCTTCAGAGGAGGATCACCCTGAATTCATTGTCTCAGTGAAGAAAGAACCTTTGGAAGAAGACTTCATTCCAGAGCCAAGCATCTCAAACCTGCTTCCATCCAGCCACTGTCTGAAACCATCTTCCTGCCTGCTGGATGCTTATAGTGACTGTGGATACGAGGGCTCCCCTTCTCCCTTCAGCGACATGTCTTCTCCACTCGGTATAGACCATTCTTGGGAGGACACTTTTGCCAATGAACTCTTTCCCCAGCTAATTAGTGTCTAAAGAGCCACCCCACACTGGGCCCTTTCCTTGACCATTATACTGCCTAGAGGATAGCAGAGAAAGATTCCTTTAAAGTATTCTTTTAAACCTCATATCTGACTTCCAAGTATTGTCTTTTCACATCCAGCCATCTAAGGTATTCAAAAATAATGGAATTCAGGACTACAGCTTTTGAGATTGTTTTAACTTAAATACAAGGAGGGTCATTTGACAGTTATTTCCCAGATTAGCTTTAAACTATGTAGGTGAGGCTAGGCTGGAACTCTTGACCCTCCTGTCTCTATCTCCCAAGTGCTAGCTTACACAGGTGTGCACTTCCACACCTGCCTCTTGACATGTCCTAAAGTGGACATGGGGTTTATGAATGGCCTTTGATAGTTTCTCTTTCCCGCCTCTCAGCTTCCCAGGGTTTAGTTTACTTCTACAAGCATAAACCCCAACCTGATGGGGCTTGTTTATCCTTATGTACAGTACGAGTGAAGATCAAGAATCTTTGTAAATTATAGAAATTTACTATGTAAATGCTTGATGGAATCTTCTTGCTAGTGTAACTTCTGGAAGGTGCTTTCTCCATTTATTTAAAACTACCCATGCAATTAAAAAAGCAATGCAGCAAAAAAAAAAGACCAAAGTCAACTCTTTGGAGTCAGATGTTCGGAAATTAAGGGAAAGAGAAATTCTGGCTGTCTCTTGGGTTTACTATAGAACTCAACAGAGAGTCATCAACCTCTCAGCCAGGAAATTTATCATGTTGGCAAATCTACAGAAGGAGATGATTTTGCCTGTGACAAATAATATTGTCCTCAAAGGTATATATTAAATAAACACTGAATGTCCTCGGTGTCATTGAGATCTGTTTTAGCGTAGCTGGGCTTATATAAAGAAACATGGGAAGGCTCAGTTATCATATTCAACACTGGTTGGAGCCCTGAAAACAGAAAACCCACTTTTTCACACTGTAGCTTCTGGTCTTAGAAAGCCTTCATTCTACAACCTAACATCCACGCTTCTTCTCTACTGCAGCCTGCCCCATAACCTAATTTGGCAAACACAATTCCTGTTACCTGCTAGCTTTGTGTTATTAATTTTGGAAAGGAGCCATGATTTATACTCCAACCACTTACCCTCAGCCAGTTAAGAGAACATTCATCTGCAGCACAGATCCTCAGGAACTACATGCTTCCTTCTTGTCTGCTTCCTTATGCATTGCAACACAGGTTGCTTTGGGAGACAAGGATAATGAGTAAGTTTAATGATTTAGGGAGCTTCAGACCTACACAATCTACTTAGACAGGAAGCCTTGTGGGCCAGCAATGCTTACATTCATTGTGAAGGCTCATTCATCATGAATGTCTCTGGTTAGGCCCAACCAAAAACTGTGGAAAAATATTGGGAAGCTCCGGCTAATAATGGTGAATTATGAGGTACAATGTAGGACCCATGAGAAAGAAGCCTGAAGAATTTAAGGCTCCTCAGCTTGAAAAAAAAGATTAAACAATGAGCTGCTTTCAGAATTGCCTTCTGGTCAAAGGGATTTATAATATAGAAAAGGTTATATGGTTTTTTTCTACACTGAGGATACAAAGAAACCAGGCTTCAATTGTGGAAAGATAAATGGGTAACCTCACTGAGACTTGGTGTGGTCAACCAGATAGCCTCTGAAGGCCTTCTGTAACCCCTTGGTAGAAGATGACTTAACCTACACAATATTGGAAGCTCTCTTATTAGAGCCATCAGAGAAAAGGTGTATTTTTGTGATAGTCAAGTCAGTCTCTTTGCTGAAGGCAGAGGTCTGCAATGCACATGGTCTTGAGTTTCCTCACAATTACATTACCCTAGAGTTGATTCTGTTTGCTTTATAACTTCTCAGAAATTTTGAGGAATCACCTACCTCATACAAGCTTCTATTGTGTGGGCAATGAACCCTCTCCTGTCATTGACAAAGGGATCAAATTTCCTCCTGTCTCCAAAAGGATGTCCAATTTTGGACCATAATGCAGTTAAAATGGCTTTCTGCAAACAGGTTTCTAAATCAGTTGCCTTACCAGCACAATGGGGTGAGATCTGTAATTCTCCTCCCTGAATTACTCTGACTATACTATGAGAAGCACAAAGTCAATCTTTGTTGCTATCAAACTCTGAAGGTTAAGTTTCTAGGCAAGAAGAAGGTTGTTTTGAAGCCATGATCAATCAACCATGTCAACCTGCCAGAAGGAACTTATAACAGTGGAGGTAATAGATGTTTACACTGAAGCTCTGCTTTTCTCACTCCTTAGATTCTAACATCCAGTCACTCTTTTTTTAATTCGTGGAAGGAAAGATACAGTGGGAGCACATTTATGATCTGCACACAATGAAATGTCTTTTTCATAACTATCATTGTTGATGTTTCATATACCCAACCTTACCAGCACTCTCCCACATCTTTGTTACTCTGAAACTAAGAAGAGTAAGGATCACTAGAATAAAAACTCACTGATCACCATATTTTCATGGTAAGGAAAGAGTCTTCTGTCATTAGTTGCAAAGAAGGAATGAGTTCTATTCTTATTATTTTAATTCAAAACAAAAGCCACCCCTTCTATATCTAACCCTTGTGGGTGGGCAGCAAAGCCTCATTTGTGAGCAAGGAGGGAACTGGTTAATTATACTTAGTAGGTCTAGTGTCTAAAATAACTCTTTCTTACTAAAAATCCAACACTAGCAAATAGGTAGAGTGAATTACATCTGCAATGGAAAAGACAAGACAAAAGGGAACAGGACAATGATAGAGAGAGACGCAAAGGAGATAAATCCATGTTTGTCAATTTCTTGCATGAGGTTGACTTCCACTCAGTGGCTGCCATATTTGGAAATGAATACAGTGTTAAGTTTATATATTCCTGAAGATTTATCTAACTTTTTGACATTCTCTCCATCCACTCAAGCTCACACAACAAAAGTATCATAGGGTAGTTAGTTGGATTAAGTCACAAAATTCATTTTCCCACAGTTATGGAAACTATAATTCAAATCCAGGTCCAATGTGCTTACTTTCTATTAATTAATGTCTCTCTCCCTGGCTTATACACCTCTCTCCTCTTGACAGAGAGAAATTGTGAATAAGGGAGAGAGACAGATTTAGTGTCTTTCTATATAACTACTAATGTCATATGAAGGCCCCCACCCTCATGACTTCATCCAACCCTAGTAACGGTCCAATGGGCATATCTGCATATAACATCACACTAGAGTCATGTACTTCTTTGAAATTGAAGGAACACAGCATTCATTGCATAACAGAAAATGGTAGCAGAGTCTAACTAAAGGGAAATTTGCCTTAGCAAAGTTTCCCTTTGCAATTTCAGAACATTGAAAATGCTTCAGAATCCAGCCTCCTTCAACATGAGAGCTGAGCCTTCCCTACCTCTTCTCAACCACATTGCCCTCGGTCTTTCTGTCTTATACTTGCAAACTACCAGTTTTCACATTGTCTGGATAGAAAATGCCATTGTGTGACTTCAAAGGACTGGAGCTGCTGCACAGTGTATCATTCCAGGGAAACATGCCTCCTCTCACAACTGTGTGTGTCTGGAATTCCTCTCACCTTTCCCTTTTGGCGTATCAACTTCAGGAATCCACATTATTCTTAATGCTGTAGGAACTGGGTATAAGGGGAGAGATATTCTCTTTCAGTTATTACAATGAAGAGTCATGTGATTTACATTGATTTCCTACATATAAACTGGGTTGATATTCACCTTTGTATTTATTCTGTCTCCCTCTCCCTCTAGGATGATGGTGTGTGTGTGTGTGTGTGTGTGTGTGTGTGTGTGTGTGTTTGCATATGTCGCAGCACATGTGCAAAACTCAGAGAAATCTTGTGGGCTCTGAGGACTGGGTCAAGGGCCTTTTCCATCTCCATAGTCCGATCCTCATTTTTATAGGCAACTGCTATTCATTTACCTCCCTTTTAAAGATAAGGAAGCTGAGATCAAATCCATTCAGTCGGAGAGTATGTAACAAGATGGAATAAAGCATAAGCAGCAGATAGAGGATCAACCCACGACCCCCAGGCCCTGATTTCTGAATTTTAAGGCATCACACTTATCCATCATAGACTATCAATTGGTCCCTAATCCCTACTCAATACAAATCTGTCCATCTCAGTATTTCCAGTTAGGATTCAATACAATTTCTGTGGTCTCTTATCATGCAATGATTTTCAACATAATTCTGATAAATTTCACAGCAAGTCCCCTCTCCTGCTGTCTCCAGGATCTAAGGCATTGTGAGCAATGTGGATTGTCCTGGGTAAGCCAAATGGGAAAGGTGAGAGGAATGGCAGACTTGCACAATGGTGAGGAGGAGGCACAGGCTCCTGAAAAGGTACACGGTGAAGTGTCCCCACTCCTTTGAAGATGACAGAGAGAAATGCATGCCCATAGGTATTTTTCAAATGCAGAAAGCACTCTTCTTTCAACCATATCAACGGAATTAATATTTACTAGTTGACTACATTTAAAATCACTTAGGAGATTGGTAAGGCGCACCTTAGATGTGTCTGTGACAGAGGTTTACTAATGGAACTCTAATGTGGGTGGCATCATCCACTGAGATGGGGGTTCAAACAGAATAAATGGTGAGAAAAGATTGCCCAGGCATAGTGTAGGCAGCACCACCCCTCTCGTTCCTGGTTTTCATGACATGAGCTGTTCTCTTCTACCACAAACTCTCAGCCAGGGTGTATTGAAGACCCATGAAACAGGAGCCAAAATGAGGAATTCCTCACTTTAAGCTTCATTGGATACTTTGGTCACCAGTATGCAAAGGTAATGTTTAGGACACCTTTTCTATATCCAGCTGTCTCCTAAGAGGAGTCCAATTAGCTCCTGAAACCAACTTACAACTCATGAGAAAGTCACAGGTAATCTACCCACCAAAGGCATCAGTTTTGAAGCCAAGCCAACTCCTGAGCTTAGCCCTGACTGAGTTACTTAGCCAAGTGAAACTGTGAAGTGTCCCCAGTGTAAAGTAGCATCTAGTATCACTGCAAATATTAAGACAACACCTACTAAAGACTCAGCACAAGAGCTGCATAAGCTAAAGATTACCTGTTGCCCTTCCTGTCATTGTCTTTTATTGACAGGGAATACCGAAGGCACAGCTCTTTTCTTGGGATGCTCAC